GAGCTCCCTTGTCTGTGCCAGTCCTGCTCTGACAGGATGGCTTGGACTTGCGATTCTCCTTGGTGTCAATTTTATTTGGAAAACAGAAGTTTGTGTTCATCTCTGTGGAGCTGCTGCAAGTGTTCTTAAAGAGCAGAGCAGAGCTGGTAGTAGTAAATAAGACTCAAAAAAAGATTTGTTTATGTAATGGGAATGTCATCTTTCACAGCAGAAAACAGCAAGTCTCTGTTGGGCATATGAAATTTAGAAGGAGGGCTGTAATTCAGGGCTTTTGTGCAGAAAACACAGCAGTGGTCACCTTCCTATTGCTGGGAGATTTAAACGTGCTGGAGCATGAGGGTCATCATGCAGCTGGAAGAGTTGTGTTTAATTTTTAAATCTTTTAGTGCTCTCACTGTGGGTTGACTCTGCAACTAATACAGTGGAAATTGCAGGTGCAAATTTCAGGGACCTACATTTTTCCAAGGACAGTTCTGCTGGAATTGCTGTTGAGTACGAAATCTAGCCTGCAAGTCAGGGCATTATCTGACCTCTCCATGCTTGGGGGATCCGATGTGGTATTAGGGAAATAATCTCTGAGGATTGAAATGATCTTACGTGTTGGTATGCTGTTAAAATGTGCCCAAATGAGTTCTGGGTTTGTTTCTTTAATACATAAATAAAGTGTCTGAGAGGGACATGTGAGGTCAGAGAGGTAAAAATAGTCCTACAGAAAACATGGTCTTATTTCAAATTCCGAGTGACAAAATAGCACCATTGCTTCCATGTATCGGTGGTTGCTTTGTGGATGTGATATAAATATTCTGTGGCAGAACTGACTTAATCTTCCAGCCCTTCTGTTGTGATCCAGATTAAATAAATGAAACTCAGAAGTATCATTTGGATATTAATATTTTACAGTGTGTTAGAGGCAATGTTCAGGGTATTGTCTGGAGCGTTTTCCTATTTAACGGGAATTCATCAAAAAAATGGAATATTTAAAAAGAATCTTTAAGCCTTGGCAATTGCCTTCAGAATTAATTAAAGGGTACACACTTTTAGTGCAATCTGTCTCTAACAGCTGTGTTATACACTAGCAGTGAGCACAGGAAGCAGAACGGTTCAGTAAATCCTTAAAGAGCTCAGTAGTGTAGCCTGTCATGAAACCATCAGATTTAAATGTAGGTTATCCTCCTCCTTCCTGTCCTCCCAGAGAGGTTGTGATGGGCTTAACTGAAGAGCGTGGATAAAAAAAGGCAGTGAATGCCCATGCTTGAGAAATGACTTGGAAAATTGAATCAAAAGACACTGCTGGCTTTTTTTAATCTTAATTTTCATGTAGAATGGGAATACTTCTAACTCCTGATAGCTGCGGACTCATGCTGAACTCTAATGTGTTTGCACACCTAGCAATAAATACGAGTTCATCTGCTGATGGCTCTTCAGCAAAGAGCAACAAAGAGCACTGTATTCAATGTTTACCCATCGCTCGCAGCGATTAGAACGAGATGGCAGAACATGCTGTGCTAGCTTTTTTTCCTTTGGGTTTGGGGTTTTTTTCTGTCTTCTTGGCTGCCCTCTGTTCTCCCAGAGTCATGAGGACTAGAGAGTAGCTTCTAACCTGGAACATCTTTGAGGACTAGCTCTTAACAAAATGATTTCCAGAAGGATATTGGCAAAAGAGTAACAGCTTTAGGTCAGAGCTCAGACCACAGCAGGACATGCTTTCAATTGTGGTCTGCTGGAATTAAAGGCTAGTTGCTTTTCCATCTCTTTTCCAGTACAGGTGCTCCAATAGGTAAAATGCTTTCAGTGAAGCATTAGAGATAGATTCAACTACAGATCAAAATGCTTGTAAAAAGGTTTGTATTGCTAGAATGGTGTCATGCTCTGGGTTTTGAGTTCAACTAGTGGTGGCATGTATGAGCACTAGTTCTGCCCCAGCAGTTGTCAGTGATGGCATGTCGTGGATGAAGCAGAGTTGCAGCTTGGAGGCATGACCTCTAGCCAGAAGTCCAGTATTTCAGAATTCATAAACTCCAAAGACACATGCTGATTTTACTGTGTAAGTGCTGGCATAGGAAGGTTGCATTAGCTAGAAAGAAGATTAGAGATTCCTGTAAGTGGTGCAGTGTAATGATGTCTTGTGATCCTCAGCTGCTTCCAGATAAAAGACTCTCTTCTCCATGTCAGCATGGCTCTGTCACAACGTGGGCAAGCTCCCGCTGTCGGATGGTCATCAGCCTATTGTTCTGTTTGCAGGTGTTCTGAGCTTTGAAACTGAGGAGGCTCCAGAGAGAGTTGCACAACAAGCCATCATGACAGCTGCATGATGGTGGTGTGGAGGTACCAAGGCAGTTGTGTGATTAAGGAGTTCCTTGAATAAAGTGTTCTCTGATAAAAATGGGGAGAATGCTTATAAAATAATACACATGTTGGAGCTGGGGCAAGATATGCTCTACTAATATAAACCCAAGATGATACAGTCAAATTAGAGCTCCATCCTCCAGTCTGCATGTATCTACTTGGTGGCTTTATAAATATCCCTCTTCACCCTTCACAGGTAACGTCCCCTGGATGATGAGGGCCTCTGTCAGGTGCTGTAATGCACTCTCCCACCACCCTGGAAAGAGACTCCAAGGCTAGTTCAGTGCTGTTTGCAAGTCTGGTTGAAGCAGAGTGTGTTTGTAGCACTGAGAGCAGAAAGCACTAAGTGTCCATTATCAGGACAAACAAAAGCCCTAGTGTGCACGTAACCTAAACGCAGGGCTGGTACAGCTGTGTGCTCTGGGGAGAGCTGCCAGCCTAGAGCCAGCACTCCTGCAGCCGGGTGTATCCTGACAGTCCTACCTACAATAACCGTGTGAAGTGGAGCTTTTCCAGAGCCTCACAAAGCCCATATTTAATAACGTGTTGTATTTATAATACCTTCCATCCGCTGGATTTCACAAGTAGACTAATCCTCTCAGCTGGTCTTTTGGTAGAGCAAAGGTGCCGGTTTTACTGACAAAGGAGCTGGAAAGCAGACTCTTGTGGGTTTTTTTTGCAATAGCAATGAAATAAAAGATTAATCTAGAGCCTTACAGTCATTGTTCTTGCCATTGCTGCTGTGTTTTCGGCACACTGTGTGCTGGATGTTGTACAGAATGAGTGTAAGATGCAGTTTGCGTGGTGAAAAGTTTGTGACCTAAACTGAGTCCTGCAGTAAATGCCAGGGTAGTCTTCTCTTGAAATGCTGCAGGTCTTTTTCCACCTCTGTGCTCTAAGCACTTCTGGGCTAATAGCGCTTTGAGCTTACCGAGAAGATCCCAGAGGGATGATGCTGTAGGAGGGAAGTGATGATAGTTTTCTTAGCTTTAACTACAAAATTAACATCACCCTTGAGGAGTGGAGTTGCCAACATAAGTGCAGCAGATTACAGGGCAGTTCTAGAGGAGATGCTGTACCCATCGGTTCCTTTGAGCCTCCGGCCCAGCCAGGCATCTGTGGAGCTGCGTGTAGCTTTGATACTGTGTCTGCAAGAGGGAAGAATGGAAGGGAATAGATTCACAGCTGCACCACCTCCTGCTTCTCAATTCAAATGAGGGGGTACTCAGTGTAGGTTATGAGTACTTGCAGCTGCTGCCCTTTCTCTATGGGGAAGGTATTAATCTAAATGTTGCAGGTACTTATTACCACATTTCCACTGTGCTGTGGGATTCCGCATGCTATTCAAGACGTTTGTTCCCATCTGTGGCATGGCTTGGGTGGTTCACAGTGAATTTCCAAAGAAGCTGATCTAAAGATCCTCTGGAGAGGAGCAGAACAGGTCTGGTGGTTCCCTGGATCTGCCTAACACCCAGCCCATCTGGCCTTCCCTGCCTGTACTTTGGGGCATGGGACAGGGAAGGAGTGGAGCATTGTCCACAGAGCAGGTGTGTTTAGATCACCTTTTACAGTACAGGTGGAGGTGCTGTGGAGTGCCAGCAAGAGACTTCTTCCCCAGAGAGTGCAGTGACAAGTGAGCAGGATATGGTCATCTCCCCCTCGCCTGGACATGCTGCATGCTCAAGGAGGTGGGGACCCACCAGGGCTGACTTGGTAGGGCTGAGGGACAGACTGGTGGCTCCAGGGGGTAGCTGGGAGCTGCTGTGACTGACTCTCTGGAGGTCTCATTCTGGCACTCAGGTCCTGCTGGAGTGGGCGATAGTCAGTGTCAGAGATGTCATGGGAAGGCTTCTTCTGAAGCACAAGTGGAAGAGTCATAGAACCAAAAGAGGCTGTTGATAGCTGTAAATGATGAGAGGGGAGGATTAATAATGATATCTAGATCAACTACAGAGCAAAGGGGTTATTAGTTTGCTCTGAATTCAATCCCTCCTATGGTTTATTCAAACAGTGGTCTGCAGGTTGTATTTATCTAGAACAGTGGTTTGTTTTACTGGGGTGTTGCTCATTACCACCGTATACAACGTGCTAGCTGCTGTAGGAATGTGGTCCTGTCCTGAAGAACTTCCAATATAGCATCATAGGAAAGGGTTAAACATGGCTTTTTCTAATGTTACAAGAATAGTGATCTACTTAATCTACTTCAGTGCTTAAAACACCTTCTATCACGGCATAGATAGGACGTTCCTCCTTAGGTTATGACCTTGGATTGATAAGTTGTGCTTTGGACTGTTTATCCAGCAAGATTAGTACAAGTCCTGGGCTTGTGAAGAGAAGCCTTCCCCAGTGTCAGCCAGCAGTCTCTGGGAAAGCCCCCAAGAACATCACTTGCAGTATTCCAGCTTCTCCTGAGTATGCTGTGCCTGTCATCTCAATGTGGAGGCTCTGATACTCCTGCAGGCCTCTTTCTGTTGGTTTTTCTGCAAGAGTCTGGAGCTGGCTCTTTGAGTCTAGCTCTCTGCTTTCTGTGGCTCTCCATATCCTCTTTGCCTACCTCTCATAGTAAGAGTGCTATTGAAGGATCTTGATGAATGTTGATCTTCACTCCCAGTTTATGAGGAGTTACAACAGCTTTTCCTCTCTTGCAGAGTGTTTACCATGCCTCTGGGAACGTTCCTCCTTCCCGTCCTCTGTTTCTTGGGAGCAGTGGTTCCACGGGGACTGCAGTATGTCACGTTCTCGCGCAACACTACAAAGTTCCTCCACCTGTCCATGGACTTGGAATCTGGGACCATTTACTTGGGGGCCACCAACTTTCTCTTTCAGCTGACGTCCGACCTGCTGCTGAAGAACGTGGTTCAGACTGGACCAGTTCTGGACAGTAAAGATTGCCTCCCGCCGGTCTCAAAGCTGGAGTGCCCTCAGGCACACCACACCGACAATCACAACAAGCTGCTGCTAGTGAACGCCGTGCAGAAGGAGCTCATCGTGTGTGGCAGTGTGCACCAGGGAATCTGTGAGAAAAGGAGCCTCACGTCCATCGACCACGTCCTCTTCCGACCAGAGAGCCCTGGTGACACTCAGTACGTTGCTGCCAACGATCCCAATATCACCACTGTGGGACTCATAGCCTACTCAAAGGATGAAGTCCCCTTGCTGTTTGTGGGACGAGGGTACACTAGCCGAGGAGTAGGAGGAGGGATTCCTCCCATCACTACCCGAAATCTCAAGGCCCACGGAGCGGACGTTCAAGCAACAGACTCTCACTCCATTTTCTCCTATGAAGAAACAGCAAAACTGGCTGTGGGCCGGCTCTCTGAGTACAACCACCATTTCATTAAGTCTTTCACTTATCGCTCAAGTGTCTATTTCCTGTTCTACCGTCGGGACCTCAAGTCTCAGTCACGTGAGTACAAGACCTACATCTCCCGAATCTGCCTGGATGACTCTCACTATTACTCCTATGTGGAGCTGCCTCTGCTCTGCCAGAGCAAAGCCACCACGTACAGCCTCCTGCAGGCAGCCTACGTCACCAGGCCGGGAAAAGGGCTGGCCCAGGGGCAGCTGGACACTGAGGGAGAAGTGCTGTTTGCAGCCTTCTCTGCCTGGCAGGCTTCTTCTGGCAAGCTAAGCGAGGAGTCTGCCCTCTGTGTCTACGCCATGGAGGAGGTGGATCGCCTGACCAACTGGACCAGGGACGTTTGCTACATGCGGGACGGGAAGTCGGCAGAAGGGGCAGAAGTGGCATATATTGAATACGACGTCAGTTCCAACTGCGTCCAGCTGCCGGCGGTAAGTGGCCCTGCACCCTTGCCAGGTTAAAGAGTAGTCTGCAGTGTGTTGCTGGGTTCTTTCTGTTCATGAAGTCAGCTCGTTTCCTACAGGTGGGTGTGGAAACCTGCTTGGGTTAAAGGCCCTTAGGCTCAGACTTTTTCTTTCCTACCACAGCAACGTGGCATAAGGACCGTTGTGTCCTGTTTGAGCATGATCTGTCTCACTGCTGCTGCGGCACTCTGCTCCTTGTGGGCAGGTTTCCTTGCAGAGAGACATGGACTCAGTGTGGCCGTGGGGAGGTCTGTTGGGACCTGGCCTCAGGGCCTGTCTCATGGCAATTCTAGGCAAGAGCTTTGAAGCTGCAGCTCAGGTTGTTTTTTACCAGTATATTTATCTCCTGGTCTGCACTGCACGTGCATCTGTGTGCTGGGAAGGGAATTTAAGGGGTGTGCTAATTCCCTGTTGTTTATGGTGAGGTGTTCCTCACAACAGCTTCCTGCAAGGGCACCCAGGAACCAGAAAAGCACAAAAAACAAGTGTCAACAAAAATCCTGCAAAATTCTGTTTCCAAGGAAGACCTTCTCCTGATCTGGTGGTTCTTTGTCTTTAGAGCTGTAAGAGGTGATAATCCTTCTTTAAATTCTATAGCAAAGGCATGATGGGATGGTGCAGGATAAAAATATGAACTGAAGTGGTTGTGTGCCCCTGAATCCTTGGAGCCTGTCAGCCCTGCTGGCTGGGGCTGTGATCGCAGGGACAGTGCCACCAACACAGAGCAGCTGCGTTCTCCTGCTGCCGTGCTGGGTGCAGTGTCCAGCATGAGGCTCTGTGGTTGGGAGTAGCTCATTTTCCCCGAGGGCGTTGCTAGTCCTTAGCAGAACAGTGTGTTATCTTGTGTCTTCCTCCTACAGAACAGGCTGTCCAGATAATTGCCTCTTTCTGGCCTTGTGCTACAAAGAGCAAAATGGTACCACAGAGCTTTGGAAGTCACTGAGTTTGGATGTCTGGTGCAAAACCAGTTCTAAAATTATGGTTTTCCTTTTAGTAGCTAAAGCTGTAGAATATTTGTGGGACAAGGGAAGGGCAAAGAGCAGACTTGGCGCAGGGCAGATGTAAGGTCGGGAGGAATATGTAGGAGTTGGAAAGCAAGAGACTGCACAGCTTGATGTCCTGCTTTCACTGCATTTTTCAGCCATGCCCCATGTGTCCTTTGCAGGGCTGCGTGGAAGGAATTGTCACAGGTGATTTTTAGGACAGTTTGAGGGAATTAAATGTCAAACTCGTGTGAGCAGTTTAGAGAAATCCTTCATTCAGAATGATGTAGAGTCCCTCGTACCATTTGATCCAGTGGAGGACTGGGCACACAGGGTGGGAGAAAGAGGCCAGTCTTTGCTATGTGATTCCTGGCACATGATCCCAGGGTCCCAGCTGCACGGCTTGGCACTAGTGGGCTGACTAAAATATGGCATCTTATTAACAAGTGTGTCCAATGATATGTAAATGTCTTAACAAACTTTATCCTTCACCATTCAGTACGTGGTAGCGGTTGTCATTAAGATTGTGTCTAACAACACATAGGGGCCTGTGCCAGCTCCAGCCTGCTCCATTCAGTGCTGAGTGGAAGTGGCTGTCAATGAGCATTTTATGCAGGAGCAGTTTTAACTCGGCTTCAGTGGCGGCAGCTTGTGCTGTATGTAAGGATAATGCTCATTAATTTCACATTTTTCTGTCTCCAGACCAGCCTGTGTGCAAGGTATGCCCTTTACCCTAGTTAGCACTGCCTCTGGTTGTTAGCCCATCAGGAGAGGCTAAGATTGAGTTTTGCAGTTCCATACAATCTCTTTGGGAAAAAAACGCTTGTTTTTATAAGAATTTCAGAACTAGTTCATTTGTTCAGTTTGCTGGAGATCCGTTAGGCTTGAGATGCAGAAGGATACATAGATGCTGTTAGTAACTTGGTAACTGAAAGTGTGAAACATGTTTCTGCAAGGCTTGGGAAGGCTGCGTGTCTTCTGTGGGTGTAGTTTGGGTATGTAACTTGTCCCTTTGCACCAGGCTTTCAATCCTCTTTATGCAGATAGATTTGTCTTATTGTTGCTTCTTACCCATGCCATGTAGGAAGCACAGACCAGAATTCACGGCAGCAGCTTCATCCAAACTTGCTGCATCACAGTGGGATTCCTGAAGCGTAGTTTCTGCTACATTGTTATTCACTGAAAACAATTCAAATAGCTTCTATGTAAATGCATATAAGCACTTTATACAATTATCATGGTCTATAATCCTGTAGAATGAAACAAGTTTGAGCTCTTGACTGTGACTAACTGCACTGCAGACAGTCCCTGCGAGGCCACAGGCAGGCTGTGCCAGCGCTGGGAGAGCCTCCACAGGTCACGGTGGTTTGTGGGAGATAAGTTTTGTGTGTGAGGTGACTTGTGCTTGACATCACGCATAGGCAACAGCAGAGCTGTGCACAGCTGGGGAACAGCAATTTCTGACGTGTGAGTTTTTTAAGCAAACTTTGAAAAATCAGCCTCAGTAGTGAGGTCATTAGGCTCCAGCATTTGTCTGAATTCATACAAAGGTTGCAAAAGATAGCTGGAATCCCACTCAAAATAAACACTTGATATTTTTAAGTATGGAAAATTGCCTGTGGCCCACTTCCTAATAAATCTTACAGGAGCTGGATGGCTGGAGAAATATTTAAGTTAAAAGGTGATGTTTGGAAGAAGCTTAAAAGTCAAATAACAAAGCTGATAAAAATAATATATCTGTCACTAAAAATGAATGATACCTTAAAGGATGGTAAAAATTAAGTCATTAAAAGTTATAACCTCCCCTGAATCTTTAAGTCAGAGCCTTATGCCTAGTATGTAAAAAAATAGTTGAATTAGTATTTGAAAGGAAAATAAAATAAAAATAAAGCATCAGAATGAAAGTACTGTTAGTCTAACTGGCATAGTTTCTGATGTGGAACCACTGTGTCAAGCTTTGCTTCCCTGCTAAGACATTAATACATTTGAGAAGTGAATAGAGGTCAGCAGGTTAAATATATTTTACTGTGGGATTTCCACAGACTTTGTCAAAAGCTCCTGATCATTTTCAGTTTCCCCAGGAGGCATTCAAGTGTTTAAATAAAATAAAATAACAACCAGAACCAAAAAAAAAAAAAAAAACCCATATAAATTAGATGAGAAGGGAGGAGAAGGTTCTGATTTTCCATGGGGCTGGCGAGGAGTGCTGAGCAGATGCCTCAAGAATGCCACGCTGTGCTGTTATCGCTGACCTCCAGCGGGGGCAGCCCCGTTGCCTGGTGCCGGATGGTACCGTGCAGCTCAGCCAAATGCAAAGCCACGGGCACCAGGCAGGAGGAATATGTAACCCTGCTCCCGAGGCTCAGCCACGCTGCCCGAGGCAAGAGAGAGGGAGCTGGAGTCAGCACGGACCGCGTGCGCTGCTAATGCCTCTGCTCCACACACGGCTTTGTAAAAGTCATTAGCAAGGGGATGAAGAGGAGGCTGAAATGTTATCCATAAGGGGATTTCATGGTGCACATTGTTAGTTTACAGAAGCCACATTGTTTGAAGACAAGCCACTGATCGATTAAAAATGGTGGCTTTAATTGTAATTGTTGGAGGAGCGATCCCACATTCAGTCTCTGGACATGGAATAAGATGTCAAGAAAGATACAAAACAACAGAGGAACTACCTTAGACAAGACTGAGTTTATACTTAGAAGATGAACCATAATGGAACATCTTTCTACACAAACAATAATAAATAGGTTGACAGCTTTCATTATCTCTCCTTTAGTATTCAGTGAGGGTTTGGTGGGACAGGGAGGATCTAACTGGAACAGAAGGATGACTGTTTCTGCAGAGTGCTGTGGAGTTAATTTTCAGAAATCTCACAAGACTCAGAAGAATTGAAGCAGTGTGCAGAGATGGGTCCTGTTTTGACTTCTTGTGGGTCCCTGGTTGTATGTGCTCTGTGATTTCTGTGTGTGGTTAGTAAGCACTTTGGAGCAGGCTGTGCTCCACCCTGTGTTTATCTATGTTCTAATGCTTTGGGATTCTTCTTCAGGCTTAGAATTTGCAGCTGATGTGAAAAAAACAGGCTAATTGTTGGAGGTGATGTTTGTGACCAGGTGGTTTTACACTGGAAGCAGGAATTCTCATCTTTTTGCTTTGTTCTGAAAAATGTAAGGTGTTTTCCCCAAAGCTGTATCATGACAGTGTATAGCCAGTAGCAGGTTTTTTTGGAGAACTTGAGAGTTTAGTAGAGTTTTGATGTATTTCATTACTGATGCTGAATGGGCTTACTGAGATGCCTACAGGATTCTGTGAGAGTACAACCAGCCAACATGTGTCAACTCATTAATAAAAGCTGATTTTTTTACTCTCAGTGAAATAAAACCCCTTAGAGAAGTTCAAAGCTGAACTCACTGCTCAGGGCACCTGTTCAAGGAATTTGGATGGAAGGGGATGGTAGGAAGTGTTAAAGGTGCTAATGTTCCTTATATCCTTTTTTGGTACTGATTTCCCTGTTTTTTCCACTCCCCCAAAAAAGGACACCCTGTATGCATATCCCTGTGGCTCTGACCACACTCCCAGCCCCATGGCCAGCCGGGTGCCCTTGGAAGCAGCCCCCCTCCTGGAGAAAACAGAGGCCCGTCTGACAGCGGTGGCAGTGGATGTGGAAGATGGCCACACCATTGCTTTTCTGGGAGACAGCAGAGGGAGACTGCACAAGGTATGACCTGGATGCCACAGGAAGCACAGAGCATAAAACTAATCAGACATACTCAGGTGGAAGGGGAAAAAAGGCAATTTCTCTTCTCCCTTGGGAAGTTGGGTTTCTCCTAAACATCGTTATTACCAGATGGTTTCTTCTCACACTGTACTGACTACTGAGAATGTGAATGCCCCAGTGGTCATGTTGCTTTTGGTTATGTCCATGCTGAGCTAGCATCAGGGCTGGTACATCCTACATGGCTCCAGCAGGTCTTGCTAAGTTGGTGTTTCACGTGGCTGCTGTCACTGCATTGAGATTTTGGTGGGAGGTTGAAATCCCTGCGCACAGCAGTGCTTCCAGCTTGTTCCTGATATAGGACTGATGCTCCCAACTCCTGCAGTGATACTTTGCCTGCAAACAACTGTGACTCTCTTGCAGGTGTACTTGGGAGCCATGGGAGATGCACATATATACACCTCTTTAGCTATCCAGCTAAATAGCATGGTGAGTGGAGACCTGCTGTTTGACCAGTTGCAGGAGCACCTCTTTGTCATGACCCAGTCAATGGTAAGAACAATAAAATCCCTTCCACAGAAGAGCTGAAAGCATTTGAGGTCCAGACAAACAACTGATGGGAGTTGAGGGAGGCAGAGAAACTGTGTATAGCAAAGCCAGTGCTGGGCAGCGGCTGCCTGCCAGTCTGGCTTCCAGGGCTGGGGGCTGGCCTTCTGCAAAAGCTGCAGGAGGCATGGAGGAAGTCTTGTCACCTTAAACTGCGGCCTGTTTGCGTGTGCCTTTCCCTAAGTCAGCCAGGCTGTATCAGCAGTGATGGAGGAATGTGAACTGCAAGCTATAAAAGGCTGCTCTATTGGCAGGAAGACAAGGGGCTGCAAATTCCTGGGTTCTTCTGTGTTGAGCAGGAACTGTTTGGACAACAGTTTGCGTCTCCATCTGAGCAGAAGAACGTAAGCCTTCTGAGGTTTTGCAAAAGATTAAAAAGAGAAAAGGGAGTTTTTGTGTAATTAAGACTGTGGCGCTTCTGTTTTTAATCAGTTAAAAGCTTAAGCTGTTCTTCTGTAGGCATGCAACCTACAAAAAGCAGAAATGTGTGGGAAATGTTTTCAGATAACAGAGGTGCACTCTGACCGGGTATGTAATAACAGTCTTGCAGATTAAATCAGGCTGTGTAAGGAAACATGTGAAGAATCTTTTCCTCTTCTCCTGCTTTCTGCAATTCTGCTTGTGCCCAGTGGCAGCTGGAGAGGAGGAAGCATTGGGGTGCCTCGGGCTCTTGGCGTATTGATGTCTGCTGAGTAGGAAATCCAGCTATGGATACTTTATTTGAGAGGATTTGTACAACACCACTCATATCAGCTCCCTGAGCTGGAAAGAAAAGGATCCTCCTAGCAAAGAAAGAAGTAGCCCTTGAGTTATTCTGAAGGAAAGAAAACCAAAAAATCAGAGCATGCTGGAAAAATACTGCTTCACTTCAGCCTCCCTGGTGCTCTTTGAGATACTCCAAAATTTTGTAATACTTCAAAGGCGGAGTTGAAATATGTGAGTGGAAGAAGATTAGGGAAATCTGAGATATATCCTTAACAGTAATTATTCTGTCAATTAAAAAATGCAAATTGCATCATGTACTTAGCAAAAGTAATAGGTTGAGGATTAGAAGCTGGTAGTTTAAAGTAACTGGCAGTGTAGTAGCTGAAGTATAGTAGCGGATCAAAGAGAGGGCAAGAGGCTGGAGTCAGCAAGGATAGGAAGTTAAAGATGAAGTGTTTTGCAAGTAAAACTTGCCCCTGGATGGCAGAAGGCTTTCGTTCCACATTGATCAAAGCTTCTTGGTATACTTTTAGTCAGAATTATAGTTCTGCCAGATAGAGTTGGGCAATAGTGCAGATGCATTCAGAGGCATCAGCTGGAGCTGCTGTCTCCAGCTTCAGTCATTTACATGTCAAGAGAGATGAGCCGCTACAACAGAGACCAGAAAAGCAAAAGAGTGAATGGTTTTCAGTCTCCTATTCTTTGATCCATTTTGTTCAAATATAATTTTCTCACTAAATAAAGACTCCTTCTTGAAAAAAGTGTCACAGATAACCCATTAATTGCTTGCCTCAGTGCCTCTGTGTAGCTTGATGCTTAGGATGTTCTTCACTGATACGTGAAATGACCATTCAGCTGGGCTCTGGAAACTTGTTGCTTTATTCTTTATTTTTATGCAGTATTGGGGATTAAGAATTTGTTTCAGTGAGCACGCAGATGATGGGACTTGCTAGTTATGCAGAAGCCATAGACCTGGGGCGTGTGTTGTATGTGCTGTGTTTTCCCTGATTTCTTTCTCCACCAGGTGGTAAAGGTTCCCATACTGGAGTGTTCCCTCTACTCAGACTGTGAATCCTGTCTGGCACTGAAAGACCCTTACTGTGGCTGGTGTGTCCTTCAGGGACGGTAAGATCCCTGAATCTCTGTTCCCATGCAGGCATTCTGGAGGGACAGTGCTTAGGGGTTGTCTCCACTTACTCTCTTCCTTGTGTCTGTGTATGTCTGTGTCTGGATTTAGCTTATTTTTAGTTCCTTTATGGAATATTCTCTGTATCTTACCGTTCCCCTGCCTGCCTCCCTGAAACGCCACCAGCACTCACAGTTGTACACAAGAGTGTCTTTCCATTGCTTTTTGGGCCTTTGGTCCCTGCTTGTGATGATCCTGTCCAGCAGACTTCAGCCTGGTTTTAGTCTGCCTGCAGCTCAATCTGTCTTATTTCAAATGTAGACTTATCTCTTCTTCTGTTGTCACTCTCCTATTTAGCACTCTTTTTTGCCTCTTGTTCCCTTAGTGATGTTGCTTAATGAGACGTGGTTTATTCCAGTGTGTCTTGTCTGCTTGCTGGCTCTGTCTGCCTGTAGAATGCCACAGGAACTAGTTTATGACCTTTGAAGACCAACAAGTGCCTACCCATCTATATTGTGACAACAGTTCATCCTATTATTGAAGGTGGTGGGAGGCTGGGACTTCCATGGCTTGTGTAGCAGCTTCCCCAAGACTCTAGCAAGGCTTCAGACTGGCAGTGGCAGCGTGGCAGCCAAAGATGTCCTGCTGGGGCTGCACAGATAGATCTCTCACAGGGTTTCTTGCTGTTTCCCTGCAGGTGCAGCCGTCGCTCTGAGTGCTTGAGGTCCAGGCTGAGTGAGCAGTGGCTCTGGAGCTTTAACTCCACACAGCAGTGTCTGTCTGTCCAGTCACTAACTCCAGCCAATATCAGCAGAGAGGAAAAAAGAAATGTGAGTGGTGATGATCCTCTGATGATGCTTAAGCATGTAGAAAGCCTCCTGCAAACTCTGAGGAGTCACAAGTCTCCCTGTTGCTTTCAGTGGGGTACTGAATTACTGAGCTTTCAAGTACATGTTGTCTGCCTAGCACAAGGGACTTAACAGCTTGGATATATAAGAAGAAAATTTCATGCTTTTTTCCTCATAGAACTAAATGTCCTTGCCTGCTAAGAGTTACTGGGTATCCTGGAGTATTTAATGGCTGCCTGAGTGGAGTCCGTCATTGGCTTAGTATCTGTAAGGTGCCCCTGTCTGTGATTTCACAGCATTTCTGACACTTATTGTCAAGAAGATCTGAAAGTGTCTACCCAAAATTGTGGCTTCCATCTGGGATTTGAGAGCTGGCAGAAAAGCTAAGAAGATGCTGCAGTGTTTTGAAGTCTGTCATTGTGTCAAGAGGTGGCAAGAACCTGCCTTTTGATAGAGACTTGAGCAAAGGGGAAAGTTGCCAATTGCTTGATGGATGACAAGTTCAGTTTGGGAGGGGCAAGAGGTGATGAGTGGAACAGTCAGTCCTAGGAGGCATTATAACAAAGTGGCTTTTTTATGTAGATAACTAATTTCTGGGACTCTTACTTTGAAAAAAATAGAACCAAAAAATTAGATGAAATAACGAAGAATGTGTTAGAGAGCAAATTATTTACTGGATGCTATTGAATTGGTAGATATTTCTGGCTATCTTGGACTTACCTTCTCTACGTGAGGAAGAATTTTACTCGTGTTACTTTGAAGATTATGAGAGCCCAGCAGTTCTGACAGAGTCGGGAATCATGTGTCCTTCTCCAGATCCAAGCCAAGCACCAGCTTTGCCAACAGGAGCAGGTTGGTAAAATGCTTTAAATGGAGCACAATAGTTGTGATAACATTGTTAGGAGAAGGTATGTTGTAGGTCCATCAGATTGCCAGGATTAACAGCCATGAATGTATGTGGTCTGTCAGCAGGTGTTCATTTCATTCTGTCATAATATCTCTTTACTTGTGTGACACACACATCCTGTGCTATTTTGGGCTGTTGCCAAATTCCAGTGCCAAATTCTGGTAGTTGGAAAGGAGATCCTGCTTGAAGGGTTATATGCAAATCTGAATATGATCTAAAATGCAGTCTAGAGTGGTGGCTGGTTTGGCAGCTTTGTCATAAATCTGGAGAGAGAACTCTCTTAAATGCTGCTTTGTTATTTAAATGAAACAAAATGCAAACCTTCTTAAAATCCACATAGTAGTGGGAGAAGGAGGTAGCTGTGAGGGAAGGCAAGAAGAGACCCAGTCCTTAAAGCAAGAAATGAATCTGCAATGTGACATAACCCCTGAAAACATAGTCAGCCTTCTATTACTGTGGGCAATAACTGGCTGAGTATTGCAAACTGGCCACTCTAAAGAACCTGGAAAGTTCTCTGTTTATAGTCTTTGCATTGTCTTTAGCTGGCCTGCCAGTTTTTTATATCTGGCTGTCACACTGCTTTAGCCCAGAACAAACCAGCCAGGTCTCCTTTCAGGGTGGTCAGGCACAGAGGGAAAGGGCCTCATACACTCTCCCTGCAGGCAGAGTGGGCTGGATTGGCTTCCCTGTTTAGTTTTGCAGATGTGGGACTGAATTTAAGCACAGTTGTGAAAAATCAGTGTAGATAAAGCCAAGGTCTAATTCTTATTATTGCAGGCTTCGGATGTTCTCATTGACTCCTCTGGAAGTCAGTTTTGCTTTTATTTCAAGACTCCATAGATGCTTTAGCTACGTTACTTTCACATTGCATCACTGAGGCTTAAGAAGTTGCTTGTTTTCTAGCCGAAGCTTGCTCATGGATGCTTTGTTTCCCTTGCATCTATTTGTGTTGTCCTTTTGTTTCCACAGCTCTTTCTCCACTGGGTGAGCTATGGCTAAGCATTCTTAGCTCAGATTTTTGCCATGTTAACTGTGTTAACTTTTTCTTTGTGTTCTTTTGTTGTTCAAAGACTTCCTCTCTCCTTCACTGTATTGCTGGCCCTTCTTTGCACAGCTTCTCTACTCTGCTAAAATTAATTTGAAGCTGGTAACCATAATCATACATTGTTTCCAAATCAGGTCTCATCAGAGCCTTAGAAGCCAACACTTTCTTATTCCTACTTGTAATACTTTTCCCAGCTCACTAAAATATTTGCCTTTTTTCAGCTTTGTTTTAAAAGTTGCATACCAGCTTGTCTGTCACTTTAAGCTGTTGAGCTCCAAGCTGATAGCAGAAGCTCTTGCCCTCAATTTGCAAGTGCTCAACCTCATCTTCTGTACTGTTGAGCAGCATTATTGGCAGTCATGGGAAATAATGGCCCTTTTGGAGAAAGGAATATTTTTAAATGTGGTGTCATAACCCTGAAATCCTGGGAGGTGTTACACCTTCCACCACTGCCAAATGCAATCACCTCTATGACAGTGATGGGAGCTGACTGCTGCAGTGACTCCTGCCTCCAGCTGCATACAATATCCTTTATTTTCTCCTAATTGTGGGTTTTCGTACACACCTCATCATCAGCTTTTTTACTGGCATATTGCTTCACTTGTCATCCTGTTAGGAACCTAAATTAGGCCTGACTGATCCTTCACCAGGCATTAATTGTTTTGTTGTGAATGGAGCTTGCTTGCAGGAGGAGGTCTGAATCCTGTGAAAGAAATGATGGATAAGTTTCTTGTTATTTACTTTTATAGCAGACTGTCTTGGAGAAATGGCAGCTCCAGGAGTTGTGCAGAGCATGCAGTATGTTCCCATTATTTGGAGAACTGATACCAAACTTTAGGGCTGGGGGCATTTGTCTAAAACAAGGTTAAGTAGATGGTTTAGTACTGTCACATGTAAAAATCTCCTTCAGGCTTCTTCTGTCAGGTGCAGTAAGTTTTGACCATCTCTGCAGCTATTTGGTGTGTCAGAAAACAGTGATACTCTCTTCCCAAAGAGAAATGGGCTATCCTGAGGCTTGCAGTTGATGTGAGACCAGGATTTAAAGCAGATAAACCTTCAGTCATGCAAGTGAGATTACAAGCCTTTTAAACCTCTCACTGACTCACTTCTTAGTCTGGACATAGAACAAAGCTCTGGGTGAAGGCAGTATGTGAAGGGCATGTCAGTTCTAATAGTTTGGTTTTCCCTTGGATGACAAAGGAGGACAATCAGCTTTGAGCCTGGAATGTTGTCTTCCTTTAATACAGAGATGGCAGTGGAATTACAGCAGATAAAGATGGAGGGATCTTCAGACTAGTCTTCCTTCCCATGAGTTGCCAAGAGCTGTCATGAGCTACTCCTGACAGACTAGTCCAACCTGTTTTTAGTGTCCCTAGGATACTTCAGTGATGGAGAGGCTAGAAGCCTGGAAGGGAATCTGTCTCCATGTTTGAAAGTGGTTTCCTAAAGCACGCTGTGTCTCTTAACAGTATGGCAGACTTACAGTGGCTCCATTTCTAAGAAATTTTTATTTTCATTTTCAGATCATGTCACCATAAAGCTCGTAGTGCGTTTCCATGACATCTTCATTGCCTCTGTGGACTTCTCTTTCTATGACTGTGCTGCAGTGGCCCTGCTGTGGAGATCGGCACCGTGAGCACCTGCTTTTTCTTGTCTGTAGTTACAGGGAGGGTGGCTGTCCCTTCCTGGCTCATCTTAGCAGCTGCTTTTCTGTCATTGCTCCAGGTGCCAGAAGTGTGTGAGCAGTCTCTGGGGATGTCACTGGTGCATCCAGCAGCACCTCTGTACGCATAAAGCAGCCTGTGAGGAAGGAACCATTATCTACAACGAAAGGGTGCGTCTCCTACTCAGTCCTAGTCCTGTGTGCTGTAACAGCCTCCAGGAGTTGGCAGTGAGTCAGGTCTCCCCTGCAGTAAATAGCAGCTGTCAGTCACATCAAGCAAGGAGGTGAGCTGTTGGAGCAAAACCCCCCTTGGAGTGACACAAGGCTCTGCATGCCTGATGTTATATGGCCTCACTAGGTTTCTGGGGAAGTGCCATCAGATGAAGCAGATCACCCTTCTCCTGGGGTTATCCAACCTGTGTTTTCAAAGCAAGGGACAAGATCAATCTGGCAGGGAGGCTGCAAGTGGGAAGGGGGAACAGACACCCAGTTTGTGGCTGCCAGAAGTGGTGTTGCAGTTTTGTGGGACACGAAGGGAGCAGACACCCCTCTGAGTGGAGGAGAGTGCAGGTGTCTGTGGGAAGAGGGAATGTTGCTGCATCTTCTGTGCTGTGAGCATTCCCTGGTCCCATTCCAAGACAAGGTGGTGTGAGATGGAACTCTCACTGAGATCCAGAAAGTGAAGCAGCCTCTTGTGAGCACTGCTGCGGGAAGTAGCTTGGAGTGGTTTTCTGCTTGGGTTTTGTTTCGCTTCCTTTCTTTCTCTCTTCTCACCCCACTATGCTGTTTTTCTCTAGGCCCAGATCCCAACCTCAGGTGTGTTTCCTTCTTCAGCAGCTCCCCTCACCAAGTCCTCCACTACAGCTCCAACCACAGCCACAAAGCCCATCACTCCGCCTGTGCGTGTGGTCCTGAGCACTGTGACTCCTACGGAGCCCAACCATGTCACACTCTCTGCAGCTTCTGATACGATGACTGAGCATATGGAAACCCCCAGCTATACTTACCTGACTCTCTCAACTGAGGCAGCCTCTCTCCAGGCTGTCACAGAATCCCCTCTACCACCACCAGCAGACAAACCTGCTGTCACTGTGCCAGAGACAACTTCTCCTGCTGCATCTGTCCTCACCAGCCCACCCAAAAACATGGACTATGCAGCCTTGCCCACTGAAGGGCCAGCCATTGCCCAGGAGCCACGGCACACCAGCCCACCCACCACGCTAGTGGGTAGCCCTCTGCACACATCTGCAGCAGCAGTAACACCTTCCCCTCTTGTCACCAGCTTCAAGTGGTCTCCAAGTTCTTTTCCTACCACAGAGGCACCAACATCTGCCATCCCATCTCCCCACACCCCCAGCCAGGTGCCAGGGGGCCCTGCTGCCTCTGATGACTCTGCCAGATTACTAGGAACTGAAGTACCTGCTTCAGAGCTCCCACCATCAACTCCCCCAGACTGGCTGCTGGAGGAAGGCACAGAGCTCCAGGACACAGAGGACTGGATGGATCTGCTGCAGGCTGAGAATGACACCTCTCCATTCTCTGCTTCTACTCTGCTCTCGGGTGATGGCGATTCTTCTGAGAGAGATGTCCCTGACTTTCCCAGGATCCTCCACCCTGACCTTGACTATCAGTATGATGCCCCTGAGTTTTGGGAGGAGGTGAGTTGCCAGGCTTTGGAATTCACAGTCTAAGGCTGTAACATTTAGAAATTTTCATACATGCTATTAGTATAGTATTTCAGCATGCAGGAGAGGTTGGGCCATCTGAGAGTGCATAAGGTGACTGCTGTAATGTGCAGAGTGAGAAGTGGCAGCCTGAGGAATAAAAATGTGTGAGGTTCCCAGGTCTTGTAAAAGTGCTGCTGGCCTGAAGGTGGCAGCTGCTGTCACGTCCAGTATATTCACAGCTTTCTGCTGTTCTCCTCTCTGAGTTGTTGCATTGCTTTCCTGTAGCTCCACAGTAAAGAAGCACAGCCATGTATTTGTTCAGGCGGGGCTTATTTCTCTGTTGGCATGTTAGGTTTTGATTCCCTCTATCAGAGCCATGGAAGTCTCTTTCTCTAAAGACCTGTGTTTCTTTTCAGAATGAAGAGCTTAGCTGGGGTCCAGATGCATGCCCCTGTGTACAGGGAATCCAGGGATCTTCACTATTTCCAGTCAATGTGGCGAGGAAGATAACCCTGCTGGGAAAGAACTTCCATCTCTATCAGGTAGTCAGCTCAACACCATCAGCATTGAGAAACTGTATTAATGCAGAGCACCGTCCACTGCACTGCTAAAACTACACATAAGGCACAGCTGTGGCTCTGCGTAGATTTCTCCTGTCTGCAGACACACCTAGAGGAATGACCTACTTCTGTGAATAAAGAATTACATAGCTGGATTTATTGGTGGGCAGGAGGTCACCCAGAGAAAGGGAGAGTGCAGGTGTGCACCACCCTGCTGGAGAAGATCAGCAGGTGTTTGGATTAAGCTGCACCTGTGCTGCAATGTAGATGGTAGTTCTTGGAGTAACTTCCTGAGATTGTTTGCATCTCCATAAGCTAAAGATAAGTCATCTGTTCCCTTTCCTTTCTGGCATGTTCATGTTAACGTGACTATTCCTGTTATACCTGAAACTTCTGCAATGGGGAAAACCACCCTTGAAAGCTATGTTTTTTGGGTGTGCCTCTGATAAAAATTGCTTTTGCCTCTCAAGACAGAAGACCCATTTAGTAACCTTTCACTAACAACCACCTTAGAATATGCAGCCCACAGACTAATTGTTAGTTTATATGTTAAACCTGATATACTGCACGGCTCAGAGAGCTGGTTACAGATGCATATCCATCTTTTTTACAGGAAGTGTCTAAGCAATTCAGTGGAAGATTTACAGAGGAGAGAGAGAGAAGAAAAATATGCTTAATGTTTTTTGAGATGCACTCCCTTAATCTGTGTACTCCACTCTTCATTTCCAAGCTAGTGTATCAGAGACGTGCGGGTGTAAATTCACATTCCCACTGTTTTTTTCTTTAATTCTTCCTCCTGTGCTGAGCTCTGCTCGTACTGACACAGATATTGAGCTGTTTTGCTTGGTGTTGATTTACCTTTTCTACATGGAGGCAGCAACAGCCTAGAAAGCCCTTGAGCATAGCATAGAGTTGGCATAACAAAGGGAATGAGAGGAGTGTGGTGCTTGCACAGCAAGTGGCTCAGTAAGAGGCCACTGAACTAGAAAGGGGAGGAGTACACTGCTGGGTAGCAGGAACCTCTGTGTAGCTGAGAAATGGTGCCATGTGTATCTTCTCTGCAGGACCAACAGTGGGACTATGAGTGTGTCTTGAACTTGGAGGGGAGGACAGTGGTGATGGATGCTTATGTGGAAGGAGATGAAACAAACCAGTCCCTCTGTTATATCACCTGCCAGATGAACCAGGTGAGTCCTTGGAATATGATGCCAGTTCAGAGTTCACACTGGTACTGGCTTTTCTGAGCAAAACAGGAGGCTGGAAGGCAAGCTCTTTGCAGAAAAGAGTGTTTTGCAAAGTTGTCAAGTATTGACCATTATAAGATCCTCGTATGTAATGCTGCTGCCTGGCAGTACTGGTATCTTCATCTTGGAGATAGCATGTGCAGTCTGGGCCCACAGGACCTGGTGCTGCACTTCCTGTAGTCCAGCATGATGCTGTCTTTGAATCACCATTCATTGCAACCTGCCAGGACAGTGTCACTTTTGCTTTGGCTTCAGGCACTGTTATTCGTGGTTCTCTGGATCGTGACTTATTCTGTGATGGTGGTTCTTTTGTAAAAAGAAAAATGATTTAATACCAGTTTAGTTCTTAGTAATGAAGGTAGTCCATGGATTGTAAGATTAAAGGCAAAATTAAAACAGCCATGTACCTTTCTGGATGATGTGTAGATTTTTCTCACAGCAAGATGTGCAAGCAGAGGCAATATTTTTACTTAAATTCATGCAGTTAAGGGAGAGGAACAACAAAGGCTCTTGTGTACACGAGCCCTGTGGACCAGTTGTAATCCTATAGTGCCATAGCACTGTGCAGGATAGATGCTGATGCTTTTTGCCTCTTCAGCTGGCTTCTTGGTGCCCTGTTTAGTCCTTTGTCTTGATGGTCTTTGTCTCTGCAGTACAGTTACACAGCACCTCAACTGGAATTCAACGCTGTGGTGTTTGTGCAGAGGCGACAACACCTGCGAGTGGACAGTGCTGCAGATCTTCACGGTAGGAGTGCAACACCTCCCAGCAGAAAGAGAGCAGGAGAGGTGGAGGAGAACTGAGAAATCCTCAGATGAGGCCTTTTGCATCTGTAATAGTCATATCATGGGGGAGCTAAGGAAAACATACAGCCTCATTTCTGTTGGCTGTCACAGGGGAGGGAGGAGGAGAGGGTTCTGTGCAAGATGCCAAGCTGCTGGATTATTGTGTGCTCCAGGGGATGTTTGCAAATGCCTCTGAATTTTTCTCCTTTGCAGTGACTTTTTACAACTGCTCCGTGGGACACACAGATTGTAGCCGGTGCCAAACAGCTGACTCAAAGTACAACTGTGTGTGGTGTGGAGGTGACAACCCCAGCTGTATCTTCAGGGGCTCCTGCAAGGAAGAGATAGAAGACCTGTGTCCAGCACCTCTGATTCACTCTGTGAGTATCTTGCTCGCTAGTGTACTGCACCTGGGGCAAGGAGGGCTCCATTCTCCACTTGAAATCAGAGTGCAAACAGTGCAGCTCAAGAACACATTAGCCAACTGAAGAGGGAATTAGTCCTACTCTACTGTGGTCTTTTGGTGTTGTGAGGATGCTAGACTTTTGTGCTGGGCTTTCAGTTTGCTGATGAAGAACAGTGGGGGAAGATGCATTTGTGTCCCTTGTGAGCTGAAACTGGCACGCCAGAAGGAGCAGAATCATTCAGGAGCTGGGAAAGGGTCCACAGACTGGATCCTCCAACTGTCCTGAGCCAGACTCTGAAACAGGTTGGCCCATCTGATCCTGGGGCAAAGGAGGGTAAAACCTCATGGTGATGGCACAGCAAGGATGGGAAAAGCATGACAGGTTAATGGAATTAATTATTTTTGTCTGTTTTTTTTTTTTTTTAAATGTTTCTTGCTAACTGCCACATGACAAGTGTCTGTAGCCATGTGTCCCCTTTGCTGTCAGCTTGTCCTCCCTCTGGTGGCACACAACATCCATGTGCTGCATCTTGTCTTATTTTATCTTGGATGCCGCTCAGGGACAGAGCTTTGACGTTTGTGCAGCATGCAATTCATTGTCATACTGATGCTGAGGGGGGAATGGTGCTTGCTGCTTCAATACTAGTAACATGTATTGGCTTGTGCATTCCCACTTTTCAGCTGAAATGCCCTCTGGAGTGGTCAGCATATTGATGAGAAGGCAAAGCAGGGTAGTCCATGCCTTAGAAGTCTGTAGTGGATTATCACCTCTTGGGGTGGGGGGCACTGCTGGCAACAGTGAAAGAAGGCTCCAGCTGTCATGTTCTTTACGGTTTTCCTCTGATGAGGGTGCAGCCTGGCCCTAGTCCAAGCAAGTAAAAGGAATCTATAGCAGTGACCCAACCAGGCAGAGTTTGTAATGGGGCAGCCAAAGGGCCCTGTCCTGTAGATCAGTTGCCAGACTGAGGAGGTCTGAGATACTGTGACATTTACACGTGCGCGGATGTCTTTGCAGGTGTACCCCCTGTCTGGACCAGTGGAAGGTGGCACTAGAATCACCATCACTGGCTCAAACCTCGGGCAGAAACATCAAGACATTGCAGAAACTGTCACTGTTGCAGGAATTCCCTGTGCCGTAGATGCTCAAGAGTATGAGATCTCTAGCAGGTAGAGTATCTGTGAAGCCTGCTCCCAGAGGCAGGCACTGGCTTTTCCCTTGGCTGCTGACACCAGCCTGAGATGTCCTTGCCTTTGCTGCAGCAGATCCTTGGGGAGTGCCCTTGAGTGAGGTCACTGTCTGGTGAGTGACTCCAGCTGTGCTCTCAGAGCTGTGCTCATGTTCGGCACTGGCCAACGGGTGCTGCCGTGTGGCAGCCCCGCTGCCCTGGCACAGCGTGTCTGTGGGGCACAGAGCCCCCCGGCCAGCCAGAGCAGGGAGTCGAAGGCTCGGAACCGGCTGGATTCCTGGGTGACTCTCCCAGTGAAAGGGCAAGTGCAGTAAGGTGATGGCTTGTGCAGGTGTCACTGCTAGGAAATCCCCAGGCCGTGTTAACACAGGGTGAGGAGGGGAACATGGTTGGAGGTGCGGCGCAGGTTCTCGCCTGCTTGAGCGGGCACATCCCGAGACTGTCATCCTTCCCTTGCCAGCCAGACTTCCTGGGATCAAACCCAATGAAAGGACCCTCTCAACCAGGGACAGGCCAGGGAGTCCTGGTGGGCCTTATGCCACTCTTCCAATGGCTAGGAATGCCCGGCAGGTCACACAGTGCTTGTAAAAGCAGTGGCTAGGAGGAGGATGAGAAACAGAAAGACCTTCATTTCTCAATCCAGCTCACATCAGTAATGGAGAACTGGTGGTGGTGTGACTGGAGGCTAGCTAGGAAATGAGGAGAAAGCAATATGTGTGCAGTTGGCCTGTGGCAGGGCAGGTAGGTGGGAGCCTTGGACAAGGGAAGGAAAGGAGCCAAGAAAACAACAGGAGAAGAGGAGAGCAATTGTGAGTAACCTCTCATCAGAGCTATCACAAACCCGTGTTTCCATTCCATCATAGCAGTAGTTGTAGCACCCTTCCCTCTGGGAGCTAGGTAAGATCCTGCTGGGAAATGGCCTGCTGTGTTGAGCAGTGTTGTCCTGTCTGTGTGCCTTGTTTGTCTGGATCCATCAGCTTTCTGTTTTCATCCTAGAATTACAGCGGGTTAGCACTGTCTTTGTTCTGTACCTGTAAATCACCTGGCATCACAGGGTCCTGGCTTGGGACTGCACTGCCTAAGATCAGATTCCTGAGCCTTTTTGACTGAAGGGCTGTAGCTGTGAACCTGGAACCCACTCCTGAGCAAAGCCCAGACAAAATCAATCTATCTCCTACTGTGCAGGCAGGCTGGGAAGTCTACAGAGCAGTCTTTTTGTTAGCAAGTCAGTGCTGTAACATGGGATTCCTTGCTGCCCTGTTCTAAGTCCAACTTGACTTTTCACCTTGTCAGCATGTCCCATACCAAATTATGGCTGGGAAGAGGGC